CTAATCATGAAAAGAGAACAGTGCAATAATGCATGACTCTCTCAGGGCAAAAAATTTAAAGTAAATACTTTGGCACAACAAAAGTTCAATTAAATAATTAAATGTTTTAAAATAGCTTTTTTGTAATAAAGGTTAGAAACTAAAAATGAAGTGCACAACCGGAAACAAAATCACCACTTATTAAACAATTCTTATGTATTAGCACTGAGCTATATTAAGGCATAAGTTATATATATTTATACTTAACCTCCCAATAAAGGTATTATTGTTCATATTCCACAGAAGAAAAATTAGGCTGCTTATTCCACCTCCTAAAATGCTTCCTTCCAATGTCACCTTCTTAATGAACCCTTCCCTGGTCAACTGATCTAAACTTGCTAACCCAGCGTCTGTTCTGAATTCCTCGTTCATCTTCCCTGCCTCAATATTCTGAATGGTGCATATCACCAATACTACATAAATTACTTCTTTTCTATCTCCCCTTTGAAAAAAGTTCTATGGGTGCCTGGGTGGCTCAGTCAATTGAGTGTCTGCCTCTTGATTTTGACTCAGATCATGATCCGAGGGTCACGGGATGGAGCCTGCATCGGGCCCAGTACTACATGTGGAGTCTGCTCAAGATTGTCCCTCCCTCCCCCCCCCTCCCTCTCTCGCATTGTCTCTCTCTCTCTCCCTTTTCCCCTGCTTGTGCACACTCACTTGCTGGCTCTCTCTCTCTAAAAATAAAATAAATCTTTAAAAAAACAGAAGTTCTAACAGGGCAGGTTTCCCCCCTCCTCTGTTCTCTTCTGAAATGCCAGCAGCCAGTAGAGGACCTGACACAAAGTAGATATTAATAAATATTTGATGAATGAATAATGAATGAATGTACAGCTGAATGCACTGGTGAATTTCTATGAGTTAGTTCTGAAAGTCTATTCAACTCAAAGCCTTGCTGTGTCTTTATACCAGAATTACTGAGTACAAATATGTATATTGTATAGAAGTTGATCAGGAAAGAAAATGAAATAAGTAAGACTAGTGACAAGGAACTAGAGAATAAATGTAAGACAGAACATATGCCTGGAAAAAGTGCCATTTTTAAAGATGTGCACAAAGTGTGGTTACTATACTTTTTTTTTTTTTTTTAATTCATCATAGAGTATGATGACACAGGGTCTTAATGGCTTTGAAGATGGGAGGGCAGACAACTAGAGCTGAGGTGCATGTGGAACTGAGCCTCAGCTAAGCAGGTTTCCTTGAAGGGGGTCTCATGAGTTCTAAAGCTATATGAACAAGAAGGCTAAAACCCAATGAGAAAATCTCTGAAGGGGTGCCTGGGTGGCAGAGTTAGTTGAGCATCCAATCTTCAGCTCTCATCATGATCTCACGGTTCGTGAGTCTGAGCCTCTCTTCCAGTGAACTCAAGCCCCACTTTCAGCTCCACACTCTCCCTCCGTCTTTCTCTCTCCCACTCTTTCTCTGCCCCTCACTCACTCACGTGCTGTCTCTCTCTGAAAGAAAGACAGGAAGGAAAGACAAAGAAAAAAAGAAGAAAGAAGGAAGGAAGGAAGGAAGCAAGCCTCTGAAGAGCCAAGATTTTAGCATCCCAGAAGTACTGAGGAGACAGAACTTGAGTTCAGGTCCCATAAAGAAGAGGTGACAGGTATACATTGCAGACTCGTGTGGAATACCTGACATTGCAGACTCGTGTGGAATACCTGAAAGGCCAGGCCTTAGGAGCAAAGGCAAACCATAAAGTCTAAACTTTACCAGAACCATACCTCTGCCACATCTCAAAAATCATCTACTCTCCACCATCACCACACACACACACACACACACACACACACACACACACACAATATACTTTGTCAGAGAAAAGAATGAGTCCCCCAGACAAAGATAACATCACCTGAAGCCTTTTGTAGTTGTCCTATATAATGTTGGGCAGTCAAGTACCATATGGCACGATGAGAGAGACAACCAAGTAATTACAAGAGAAAAGATCAAACAATAGAAATACATCCAAAGGTGATCCAGATATTAGAATTAACTGTTTAAAGTCCTTATAAGCTGTGATTAATATGTTCAAGAAATAGAGGAAAAGATGGCATATACAGATTTTTTTGTTTATATATTTACTTTGAGAGTGGAGTGAGAAGCCGAGAGAACAAGGGAGAGAATCCTAAGCAGGCTCCTCACTATCAGCGCAGAGCCCAATGTGGGGCTCGAACCCACGAGTCGTGAGATCATGACCCAAACTGAAATCAAGAGTGGGATGCTTAGCCAACTGAGCCAATACAAATACGCCCCAGCAAATACAGATTTTTTAATTGCAAATTCCACCAAAGAATATAATCTAAAAAGGAATAAAACAAATGCTAGAAGAGAAAAATATAACAGATAAAATTAAATACTCAATAGATGGGCTTTAGAAGATTAGGCACAGGGAATTTAGTCAACTATAAGACACATAAATAGAAAATATCCAAATCTAAGAGTTTGGTGTATATTAAAGAACAATTTTAGGGGAAAGCATCATTGATTTTTATGAATGATAGTAAAAATAACACATCCTAGTATATACTTGCAACTACCCTAGGCACAGCATATTTAATCCCTATGCAGCCAATGAGGTAGGCAGTATTCTATTAATATCTCCTTTTAACAGACAGCAAAACTGAAACATAGAGTATAGATAATTTTATAAGCTAGTGAATAGATAAGCCAGAATTTAAATGCAGACTGTTTGCCTCTGGAGCCCGTTCAGGAAAATGTACTGCAGTGACAATAACAACTGAAGTTTGGTGAAGTACTGTTTCACTATCATCTTAAATTAAATCCCTCTCAGCATAATGGATGGAATTAGTAATTAGTAACTACTCTACTCATGATTTTGTAAATATTTTGAATTTAACTGTATTTAATTTAAAACTAACTATAAATTGTGCTATGCTGCTTTCATATTGCCCATCTGAGAAAAGCCTGGTCAGCTGGCCCAACAGGCACAGCACGGAAGTGACTCAAAATGCAGGTTAGCTTAGGAGCAAAGAAATACTCTCTACAGTATCAGCCTTGAAAATTCAAACCTAAATTAACAGCTCATACGATATAAAATTATGGAAGAGAGATATTCAGCACAAATACTCAAAGAAAGAAACAATAGAATTATCTAAAGAGGTAACTTCTGGGGCGCCTGGGTGGCTCAGTCGGTTAAGCGTCCGACTTCAGCTCAGGTCATGATCTCACAATTCATGGGTTTGAGCCCCACATTGGGCTCTGTGCTGACAGCTCAGAGCCTGGAGCCTGCTTCAGATTCTGTGTCTCCCTCTCTCTCTCTGACCGTCCCCTGCTCACGCTGCCTCTCTCTCTCTCTCTTTCTCTCTCTCACAAATAAAACATTAAAAAAAAAATTTTTTTTAGGTGAGAGAGACAGCGTGAGCAGGGGAGGGCCACAGAGAGAGGGAGTCACAGACTGAAACAGGCTCCAGGCTCCGAGCTGGCAGTCAGCACAGAGCCTGACGTGGGGCTCGAACCCACGAACCGCGAGATCATGACCTAAGCGAAAGTCGGACGCTTAACCGACTAAGCCACCCAGGCGCCCCAAAAAAATTTTTTTAATAAATAGATAACTTCTTACAAAACCCACATGAGACACAGAGAACTCATCTTGAAAACTGCATATGACAAAAGAGTTTAAACTAGACTTAGCTCATATATCTATTTGGGATTATAGTATAAATTCTGAAACTATTCTGATAAAGAAATCTTTCCTTTCTCATCATTTGTTGAGAAAGCCACCAAGAAGGCTTCTTTAAGAATCAAATGCCCTGCTTTTGATTACCCAGAACAGGGACTATAAAATTAATTATAGCAGAGAAATGGGCGATGGGCATTGAGGAGGGCACTTGTTGGGATGAGCACTGGGTGTTGTATGTAAGCGATGAATCACGGAAACCTACGCCCAAAACCAAGAGTACAGTGTATACACTGTATGTTAGATAACTTGGCAATAAATTATATAAAAATTAAATTAATTAAATTAATTTGCAGTGAGAAAAAAATAAAATGCTAGGGAAAACTGTCACTGTCACCTTCTGGCATTTTGCCATTAGCAATAAAGCTCTCCAAATATTTTTTAAGTTCGAGGAAAAAAAAACCACTGTCTATAATGCACTTGTCTTTAGACATCTGGACCTGAAAGATTTTTTTATTTTATTTTTTTTAATATTTATTTTTTGAGAGAGACAGAGTGCAACCAGGGGAGGGGCAGAGACAGAGGGAGACTGTCTCTGAAGCAGGCTCCAGCCTCTGAGCTGTCAGCACACAGCCTGACACAGGCCTCACCCTGGAGAGTTGTGAGATCATGACCTGAGCCGAAGTGAGACGCACAACTGACTGCACTATCCAGGTGCCCCTGGAAGATTTTTTTTTTTAATGTTTTAATTATTTCTAGGAGAGAGAGAGAGAGACAGCGTGAGCAGGGGAGGGTCAGAGAGAGATGGAGTCACAGACTGAAACAGGTTCCAGGCTCTGAGCTGGCAGTCAGCACAGAGCCCGATGCGGGGCTCGAACCCATGAACCGCAAGATCATGACCTAAGCGAAAGTCGGACGCTTAACCGACTAAGCCACCCAGGCGCCCCCTGGAAGATTTTTTTCTTTTAAGTCTATATTTGTGGTCCTGATTTTTAGCAAGCACTTTAAAAGGCCTGCTAATAATATCTGAAAGGCTAACATACTCTGCACAATGTTACTCTGTGCACTACTTTAAAGTGGGCAAAGTAATCAAACCTGGGTTTGGTTTCTGAAAATGGCACAGGCACCCCAGGCTCTTCCCAGGCATATGTAACCATCACCTTTCAGAACACTGAGAACCTACCACATTCCCAGAAATCATCTAAGACTAAATTCCACAAACTTTGGGTCACAGCACAAATTTAGTTTCTTCAACAAGGGCTTAGAGAAAGTTCTTCAAGCAACAAAAAACTGGAAACGTTTTTAAAAAAATAATGCTTACCTTTGAATATTTTTGTAACTCAGCATCATCTGCAATCTGTGTATCCAAAGTAGCAACCTAAATTTACAAGAAAAAAAAAATCCAGTATCTGTAAAAGCATAACTTTATTTCTCCTTAGGTTTTCTGAAAATACTCTGTAAACCTTATTTATTAATAACACCATCTAATCTCCATTCTCATCTTTTTTTGACGTTTCTGAAATCCTTAAGTATAAAGCATAATGTAAAATTCCAGCAAATATTTTCTGTTTGTTGTTACTGTTTTTTTTAAATTTTTTAATGTTTTTGTAATTTATTTCTGAGAGAGAGAAAGAGAGAGAGAGACAGCGTGAGCAGGGGAGGGTCAGAGAGGGAGGGAGATACAGACTCTGAAACAGGCTCCAGGCTCTGAGCTAGCTGTCAGCACAGAGCCCTACCTGAGGCTCAAACCCACGAACCATGAGATCATGACCTAAGCCAAAATCAGATGGTTAACTGACTGAGCCACCCAGGTGCCCCTGTTGTTACTATTTTCTACAGCAATCCTTCCCCCTAAATTACTCAGAAGTTGAACCAGAAAGTGATGGGCAGACACATACACTATTTTTAAAAAGCCATGCCCCCTAAAATTTAAATATAATATTCTGTTAGAAAGAGTCCATAAAAATTTTATTCTTTTAGCAAAGCCAAGAGTTATCGTCATTTTTGTTTTTAAATCCAGGCTTTAAAACAAAGTTTGCAAGGTCAGTAAAATAAGATGTGCTTGGAAAAATTGAAGCATCTGACTTTCTACAGAAAAGCTCCACCATTTCCCTAGGAGAGTTGGCTGGCAAGGACACAAACAGAAAGACCTGGCCTGGTGAGAGGCTCATGGAATACTTAAAGCTTTTAACCCTGGCCTAAAACTATTGTTCTAAGCTTCAGTGGTAGAGAGCCACAGGAGTAAATGCTAGCAAGCAAGATACTTTACTGATGATTTGCATCTGTGGGTTGTTAATAAAATATGGTACATCTGGAGGGAGGGGCTAAGTTAAACAATGATCCAACTAAAGCTTCTAGAAATACTGCACTTCACAAAAGGAGATTCTAGAAGAAAAATGAAGAAACACTGGAGTATATGTGTATGTGCATGCAATTTTAATCTTGCCTGGTTTCTCCTTTCTGCTTCTCATCCCTCAAAACAGAAGAACTCTTAATGAATACGCTGTCTCTTTAAATTCCCACCCTCAGAGTAGGTCTCCTCTTTCTAGCTAATCTGTGCTTGACCTCACTGTATGACAAATGAAATTTGGAAATATGGTTAGAAGGGCAAAGTAAAACTTTAGCAAAAAAGAGCCCATTACAGAACTGGCCATTTATAAATATTCAGACACCAAATAACTTTGAATATCAAACCACAAAGAATAGTAGAAAAGGTTATTATTGGCTAAAGTGATAGATAGCCTAATGACAAAACAGCATTTGAAATCTATGAAGTAAAGAAGCACCCGTTCATGAGAACCAACACGCAAGTACAAAATTAGCAAGAATAGAGCACAGAATATTTTAATTCATCTGAACAACATTGGAAGTTTTCTGACAATAGTGGTTGTATGTTCTGAACCGAGAAAAAAAAAATTCTCCAACCAGCCAACAAGTTCTAATGATAAACACACGTAAGAAAATATGAATGACAATAGAGATTCAATAGAATTTATTACTAATGCATTTAGTGAACACTGCAGAGGCTTTTCTAAGCACAGCTTTCTGCTTTCACGTGGATTCATAGGGGGGAATGTAATCAATCCCTTACTCAATGAATGTAATAACAGGTGAAAGAAAGTCTAATGGACCACTGGTGCTATAAACTTCTGCCTAACCTAAATTACTTCCTGTTCTCCCTAATCCATTTGATAATCATTCTTTCATTTTTCTCATAAAACTGTAAGATTCTTCATGAAACATAGGACTAATATCCACAGCCCTTTCAGTGTACAATAAAACAAACAGATCATAAAAGCAATCATAAAAATGCCAGCAATTTTAAGCAGCTGATACAGGTTATAAATTCAAAGGCAAGCTTTCTAAGATTCCTCTGCCTACTGTTGACTTAAATGTTTTCAACACGAGCTGAGTGTCTGCTAATTGTAACTGAAACTTGCATGCGGTCCTTAATTGTTCTTATAGCTTAAAATGCTAAAAGAGGGGGGAAAAATTGATCCACTAGGGAAGAAAGGCAGGAAGAAAAAATAAAGGCAAGCTGGCTATTCTTGGACTCTCCCATTTCCTTAAACTGCAGTGTCAGGTGCTTAACATGAATGAGACGTGAATGTTCTTTATTACAACATTTTAACATACCATTACTTCATAATCTGGACCCAAAAGGTTTTCCCATCTAGATTTCAGCTCATTTTCTGGAGAGTCAGGAACTTTTTCTGGATTAAAAAAGAAGACGAATATTGAAGCTACTGTGAGCCAAACATACTTACCTACTAAATTCTTCAATAACAGCACAGTTCCAGTAAGTAAAAGGGAAATGAGTAAAAAGGAAAATGCGTTAACTTGGGTCTACCAGGTAAAGTAAATCAGAGGTGACTTATAAGACTAGTTTAAAATGTAAGGCCAATTGTGACCAAATTATGATGGGACTCTTTTGTTAAGAACTATTTTAAAGGGAAGAGGAACTGATGAGTTAGAAATGAAATTTGAAATATATGTACTTTAGATGTAAACATCCTGCCATTTACAAGAAAAATACATCTGGCTTTGCTTTACAATATGTTAAGACAAACAAGGTTTAATTTAAATGTTAATCACTTCAAAGTAAGACTTTCCACTCACCCACAGAAAAAGTACAAATTATCAAAAGACATCTTTACTATCAACTGGAAATATCAACACAATCCAGTCAGAATTCTCATTTGTGTAGATATAAAGGCTTGTCTGGTGTAATTCAACCACGGAGTCGCAGGAGCTTTAATATAATAGAAACTCTGGTTTTACTTTGGTCTTCTGTGGTTACTTGGTTATTCCTTTGTGACTCTTAAGTATAATATTGCTTTTTTTGCATAGGTAAGAAAACATTCAAGAACTAAGACAGATTTTAAGTGTCCTGCCTGTCCTCCATATGATCTTAGCCAGAAGCTCAGGGCACAGTTCATAGTCTGAATACTGCCTAATAGGCAAAAGTTAAAGTATTGAAAATACAATTTCAACTTATATCCATAGTAGCAGAAAAAGCAAATGTTCACTTTTTTTTCTTTAAGTTAAAGAAAAACTATCCATTTTGTCACAAGATTAAACAAGTCACAGAACACTTATTCCAGTGGACATAACCATCTGTCTAAAATGAAACATAACTTGCAACATCAGCTCTTTCAGTCTTCAGTCCAGATAGCTCATCTTGGGTGTATATAATACTTAATTACATAATGCAAATCATCAAGTAAAACAGGCTAACCTCAGAATTCGGAGACTAATAAACTAAAGAGCTAAACTCACCAAACATGCAAAAGAATATCCCCGAAGTAACTCTATCAAGTGATATGCTAGGTTACATTAAAGGGATAACTAACCAAAGGTCTAATTAAAAACAAAATATCATTCATGTGGGCTCTGCACTCTGTGCCTATATATTGCTGTCAACACTTCCATAAGAAATTACATGAAGAGTTCTACCATCTTTGTTAATTTCTTCCGGGCAGCAGTTTCTCATCTGGTAAGCTAATTTGTAAGCTTAAGAACATGATGTTTAAAGACAACATCTCACACACTTGTATATAATAATGATATTTCACCTACAATTCCTTTTAACTTTGTCATCTTTCAGTTGGACAATGGAAGCACAGATAGTGATTGAATTTCAAAGCACAGCACAAAGCTAAGTACCAGAAGAAAAAGACTAATTTCAGCAGCCCAATGAAACCTGAGCTACACAAAATGACTTGAGAAATGAATAGTATGAGCACCTGGGTGGTGCAGGCATTTAAGTGTCCAACTCTTGATCTTGGCTCAGGTCATAATCTCATGGGTCGTGAGTTCGAGCCTTGCATTGGGCTCTGTGCTGACAGCGTAGAACCTGCTTAGGATTGTCTGTCTGCCTCTCTCTCAAAAAATGAATAAACAAACATTAAATAAATGAAAAGTATGATGATCTGAAACATTATTCCAATGGTAATGAAGGGGAGCAGAATATGCCACCCCAAAATATGCCATTTTAGCACATGAAATTTTTTTTTTAATTTTTTTTTTTAAATTTATTTCTAGGAGAGAGAGAGAGAGACAGCGTGAGCAGGGGAGGGTCAGAGAGAAAGGGAGACACAGACTCTGAAATAGGCTCCAGGCTCCGAGCTGACAGTCAGCACAGAGCCCGACGCGGGGCTCGAACCCACGAACCGCGAGATCATGACCTAAGCGAAAGTCGGACGCTTAACCGACTAAGCCACCCAGGCGCCCCTAGCACATGAAATATTTTAGCTAAAGACAATCAGGACCCAAAAGACCTAGGAGAAACTTTTACCTCTCCCTTAACTACCTAAAAGAATTTAGATAGGAGGCCTATACCAGAAAGAGCTATTACCAGAAATACTTATTTTTTCTGAAAGAGCTGTTGCCATGATAGAGCAGACTTTTAATCACCAAACATTTGCTCTTCGTATCACACTGCAAATGACCCTCCTCCTCTTTGAAGCCGCAGATCTCTATCCCATTCCATAATTTAGGATGCCATGTAAGCCTCAATTGCCCAACTTACACTTGGGTCTCATATTTTTACAGGGCTTCCATATTTATAAATTTGTTTTTCTCCTGTTAATCTGTCTTATATCAATTTAATTAGTAGACCAAAGAACCTAAAAGGGAAGAAGGGAAAGTTTTTCTGCTCCTACAGCAAAAAACAAAAGCTAACTTCTTAGCAGTTCAATGATTTTGGTCTTACTCTCAATCTGAAATTAAACATACTCATGAAGAAAAAATGCAATGAGATTGATCCAAAAAGAGCAGAATAAAACATCTAAAAATATTTCTAACTTCAAAATGTATTTGATTTTCACCCAATAGCTCCATGAAAATCTATCTGGGTACACTGAATTTTAATAGCAAAGATCTAACTACAATCTACTTGGGTCAAAAAAGAATAGGGTAAATTTCCAAATTATAGGAAAATTTTTTACTTGAATGAGAGGTTACTCCTTCCTTCAGGGCATCCTTTCCTGAGACAACACAAAGCCAAAACTTCTCTGGAAGAGAATGGTGTTAAGGATCCCATTTCATTCCATTGTCAAGGCTTTCCTGTGCACCTCTGTGCAGGGAATTGTGTGAGACTGTCACTCAAAATGCTTGCACAACAGTCAACTAAGTAGCCAAGCTATCAAAGTACAAAGTAAGAGGGTAAAGTTGCACATCAATTGAAAAGAAGATTAAAGTATAAATATGTGTCAGTCTGGCAGTTTGATAAAACACATACATGTATAAAACTATGAATTATTATGTTTAATTTTTTTTTCCTAAGAGAGAGAGAGAGACAGTGTATGCAAGGGAGGGTCAGAGAGAGAGGGAGACACAGAATCTGAAACAGCCTCCAGGCTCTGAGCTGGCTGTCAGCACAAATCCTGATGCGGGGCTTGAACCCACAAACCATGAGATCATGACCTGAGTTGAAGTCAGGCGCTCAAACGACTGAGCCACCCAGGTGCCCCTGAATTATTATGTTTAATAAATATTACAGTATGTATACAAATAGCTAGATATCTATAACCGTATCAATGACAATACATAAGCTAACATTTGCAGTAATTTAAAATGCTACAAGATTTAAAAAGTTAACACATACTAATAAAAATGCATTCAAAATTCATTAAACGGGGTGTCTGGGTGGCTCAGTCGGTTAAGCATCCAACTCTTGATTTTGGCTCAGGTTATGATCTCATGGTTCATGATAGCGAGGCTCTGTGCTGATAGCATGCAGCCTGCATGGGATATTCTCTCGGTCTCTCTCTGTCTCTCTCTCTCTCTCTCTGCCCCTGCCCGACCTGTGCTCTCTAAACAAACTTTTAAAAAAATTAGTTAAACAGGGGTGCCTGGGTGGCTCAGTCAGTTGAACGTCTGACTTTGGCTCAGGTCATGATATCACGGTTCATGGGTTTGAGCCCTGCATCGGGCTCTGGGCTGACAGCCAGCTCAGAGCCTGGAGCCTGTTTCAGATTCTGTATCTCCCTCTCTCTGACCCTCCCCTGTTCATGCTGTCTGTCTCTCTCTCTCAGAAATAAATAAAACATTTTAAAAAATTAGTTAAACAAAGATTAAACAATAACATCATTGGTCCTCAGCTGCCACAAGTGTTAAGATGTTGATATTAAGAATATCCTACTTTAGGGGCGCCTGGGTGGCTTAGTCGGTTAAGCGTCTGACTTTTGCTTTGGTCATGATCTCGTGGTTCGTGGGTTCGAGTCCCGCGTCGGGCTCTGTGCTGACTGCCAGCTCAGAGCCTGGAGCCTGTTTCAGTCTGTGACTCCCTCTCTCTCTGACCCTCCCCTGCTCACACTGTCTCTCTCTCTCTCCTAGAAATAAATAAAACATTAAAAAAATTTAAAAAAAAAAAAAAAGAATATCCTACTTTAGATCTCCAAAATACCTCTAAAATTTCTCATATTAGCTATAAAGAGAGAAAATGGTTAACAAATAAGAGAAAATCAAATTACTTTGAATGTTTTGAATTGAATGCTTTGTGCCTACCTAATTTTTCTAAGGCTTGTATGTTGTCATTTTTTAGATTACCCATTCTTTCTTCAGTTTCCTCAACCCCACCATCCAAATTAGTTTCCAAATCCAGTGCTCCGGTTGGATAGAGGGCTGGTATTTCCGATGGTTCTATGACAGTTCCTAAAAGAAGAATTACTAACTTAATTCAGTCTAACAGCTGAAGACCATATTTAAGTCCTGTTCTCCCATTTGACCACCTCATTAGAAACATCTCAGGTAACTTACATACATGATTATTTAAAATGTCATGTGTGATAACCATTCAATTCCTTGAAAAATAAGGAAGTGCTGGTGGTATTGAAAAGGATAAGGAACCAGGCAATGGGAAAGGAAGAGCAAGGCAAAGTCATTCTACAAAGCAAAAGTAGATATTTTTCAACATAGCCTTGTAAAGGAAAAGAACACTAAGGTCTTATACTCTTGCACTTGTGGTGGGTAAGGAGTAAGATATGCAGAATAAGCCCATCCCACTGCTCTGGGCTCGCCTAAGTTCTGGCATGACATCATCATAAGTTAAAAATTAACAACTTTACATAGGTAACTTTATGATTTGGAAGGGAATTGGAGAGAATTCCCCTGGTTGCAATGGTTCCTCCGTTAGCTAAATTGAGCTAAGTTATAGGATATCCAAAGCTTTCAATCTTAAGCATGCCAGTCATTATGTATCTCTTAAACACAAGAAAGGATGAACAAGAGAGTCATTTTTGGTCACTTTTAAATGATCACTTATCACTTATAAAGTTTTCTTACCCAAAATATTTAACCTGGATCTAACTAGGGCTTTATATCTAGTTTCTCAGAGGAAACACAGTGGATAGAGGAACAAGTTTAATTACAGTGCAAGGTGGGTACCTGGGTGGCTCAGTCGGTTAAACGTCCGACTTCAACTCAGGTCATGATCTCACAGTTCATGGGTTCGAAACCCGCATCAGGCTCTCTGCTGACAGCTAGCTCAGAGCCTGGAGCCTGTTTCAGATTCTGTTTCTCCCTCTCTCTCTGACCCTCCCGTGCTCATGCTGTCTCTATCTCTCTCTCAAAAATAAATAAAATGTTTAAAAAAATAAAATAAAATAAATTACAGTGCAAGGACAACGAAATTCAGAAGGTAGTGTTCTAGTGACAAAATGGACATATCCTTTACCAAAAAAATGTGTGCCATGGAGACAGGGGGTGGGGATTCTTCTAGATTAAGAAACTGAAGAAATATAACACAGGAAACCAAAGAAACATTAACAGTGCATGACTGAATCTTGACTTTATGAGGTTTTTCTTTCAGAGAGGGGGGAGTGGGAAAAGAAGCTACAGAAGACATTTGGGGACAATTGGGAAAATTTCAGTATGTGTTGCAGCAAACTTGATATTAGGGGATTACTACTAATTTTCTTTGGTGTGATAGTGATATATTATTATAGAAGATATTATCTTTATTTTTATTTTTTTTTAATGTTCATTTATTTTTGAGAGAGAGAGACACACAGAGTGTGAACAGGGAGGGTCAGAGAGAGAGGGAGACACAGAATCTGAAGCAGGCTCCAGGCTCTGAGCTGTCAGCACAGAGCCCAGTGCGGGGCTCAAACCTACGAACCATAACCTGAGCCGAAGTTGGCTGCCCGACCGACTGAGCCACCCAGGTGCCCCTGTATCTTTATTTTTAGAAGCTATAAAGTATGTAGGACTAAAGTGCCATGATGTCTATTCTCACTCTTACATAGAAAAAAAAAAAAAAAGACAGATGAAACAAATATGGCAAAATGTTAACTATTGAATCTAAATGGTGGGTACGTGGGTATTTGTTATGTTTAAAAATTTTTTACAAGGGCACCTGGGTGGTTCAGTAGGTTAAGCATCCGACTTCAGGTCATGATCTTACAGGTGGTGAATTCGAGCCCTGCATTGGGCTCCTTCAGATCCTCTGTCTCCCTCTCTCCCCATCTCATGCTCTCTTTCAAAAATAAACATTAAAAATATCTATAAAAATTTTTACAATACTGTTGACCCTTGAACTATGTGGGGGTGAGGAGTACTTTCCCAGTCCCATGTGATTGAAAAACCTACATATAACTTTTGAATGCCCCCCAAAATGTAACTAACAGCCTATTGTTGACCAGAAGCCTTACTGACAACATAGTCAATTAACAGATTTTGTTTATTATGTGTAGTATGCTGTATTCTACAGAATAAGTAAAAGTAAGCTAGAGGAAAGAAAATGTTATTAAGAAAATCTTAAAGTTTAAAAAAAACACATTTATAGAAAATACAGTACAGTATTGTATTGGAGAAAAAAAATCGACATATAAGTGGACGTATACAGTTCAAACTTGTGTTCCCGTGTTGTTCAAAGGTAAACTATAAAAAGTTGAAAAATATAGCCAGTTAAAAGTTCATATGATCTTAGCCTGAAATTTTCAGCCACATAAAAAATTTTAGATCATTAATCCACTGATCACACTAAAACCACAGCCTAGCGCTAGCCAAAGTAATGAGGCCAAAAGTTGCTAGCATAACTGGGGAGAATAGTTACATACCAAAGTTTATAGTACAGAGCAGTACATGATGTAATTGTATGCTACAAGTAGTATATAAATCGGTACACAAAAAAGATATACAAGGTATACAAACAGTAGGAGGTTAGAGGAGAAAAAGTAAGATTTAGAATAGTAGAAGAAGGTATTGGGCAATAGCTAGAAGGTGTTCCAAGCACTTGGAGTACTCTTCCAAGGGTGCTAGTAAAACCCACATGAAAAACATCTCAACCATTGAAGAAATGCAAATTTAGAGTCAAATTCGTCCCAATATAAATTTAAAATGTTGGCGTGCACAGGAAAGAATGCTAATTCGCAGATGACATACTTTATTTGATACAGTAGACTGAAGCCAAGGGCTCTATCAGAGCTATTAAAAACCATTACGGTGATATAAATATTTATGTAAACCTTTTAAGGTCAATATAGTATTGGTACAATTTGTACAATTTAGGCAATTTTTAATTTCATACATACGATGCAGCTGATAGGGCATCTGTCTTTCAGCAGCAAAATTTTCACTATCACATAAAATTTAAAAAGTTCCAATTTAAATATAAACCAATATTAGTTGAGTTAAGGCTTCCAGGCTTATTATATCTTCAGAAGAGAGAGAAAAAATATATTCATCTTCTGACAAATTCTAATGGAATTTTTTCTTACTAGTTGTATAACTAGTCTTTCATTTTAAATTGAATTTGTTTTCAGGACTGGCAAATTTTTCAATCTACACATTAATAACTTGATTATTAAAAAATCGGCATGCATACAATTTGTTCCATAATGAAAATTTGCTATTCTTTAACCAAAGTAACAAATATTTTACAAATAAAAATGTTCTTAATAAAAATCCTTATTTTCTCCCCTCTGTATTTCATAGGGTAAATCAGGAGACATTAGAATCAATTATTTTGTTAGAAGTAGTATGAAATCTGAAGTGTGCAAAACGTCAAAGCCTTAGACAAATGAGAGTCCCTAGAACAAAAGGTGTCAAAGATTTATTATTCAAATATAAGTAATAAATGAAATTTAGAAGCTTTTTGGAAAAATGATTTCCATCTCCATGTCAAAGAGCTCTCAGAGCTTAATGCATGTCAGGGTTCACGTTCTAACATTTGGAATGGCACATTATAATAGGCAAAGGAAGTTCATCTTCAATGCACAAATGGACTAGCTGATTCACTTCTCCAACACTACCTCACACAAGGTGGGCAATTATTCCTTTCCAGGCTCAGAGCACAACTTCTGTAGATAAGCTCTTCTTCTAAACCCAGACTACGTGGTGGGGAGAGGGAGAGTGGAATGAATACCTCTGTCTGAAGGCCATTCGTGTGGAGAAGCAGATGGCGATGTCTTCCTTCGAACCAGAGTCAGGTGTACCACTTGCCCTGCGTTTCGTAATACTTCAACAACATCATGGTTGGCAAAACCCTGAATATTCACACCATCGACCTAAAATATGAAGAGACATATTAAACAGAGGCTTCAAGTTAGCTACTATTTTCAACTCTGACAAGGCAGAATAAAATCAGGCAATTCATTTTATGCCACAATGAATTTGTATTAAACCTAAGGAATTATTTTTGAATAGGAGGCAAAATTAGTAGTAAAACACGCTAACAAACTTCCTGAAAACCTAGAGAGCAGATTCAAACTTCTACTCCAGAGACACACATTTTAACTGACAGCCCGAGAGGTAAAAGGTCTTAGCCTCTTATGCTATTCAGAGTTGAAAGTGCCATCAAAAATGGTCAACTGTTAAATACAGTTCTCAAGATGTACTAAATAGGAGCCAGTATTATCAAACTTAAAGAGGCCATTCAATACTTCATCCCTCTATCATATCATTATACGGTATTTTCCAGAAGAGATACACACATCTCCCCTCATTGGGTTTTCTAGTGCTGTGAAGAAGTATATGCAAGAAATGAATTTACTGATCTAAGTCAAGCCCAATTCCTCATTTCTGAAGTCCATCATAACACACAGGCCTCATTTCCCAAGCTGGCCAAACCATTTAGTTTTCCCTAGAAGTACTTTCTCCAAAGCATCCACTGCTCCTCTTGTCTCCATACCCTGACAATCACAAGACACTTCCAAATAAGCCAAGAGTCATGAAAGGGGCTTCTTCCCTAGATGGCTTGAAGGATGAAGACTCCAATGGCACCAACGAACATTTGTTTCTACATAAATCACTAAATTAAATGTGTGAGTGAGGGGGGCATATGTGTATATACTTCAAAAATATCATTCAAATTTGTAAAAATTTAACCAATTTCTACTAAATGGAGAAAGACCAGTCTGAATTGACAAAAGGTAATTTTTATATTCTCCAATATATAAAATAGTTCTATTTTGTATATATTCAAATTAATTAGTTAGTAGAAAATTTACTTTTATGAAGAGATAAAAAGAGCTGGCTAATAGCCTACTTTGTATGTAAAATGAGCGAGTTTAAAAAATACAAACATGCTTGAAAAATCTCTTGTAGGGGCACCTGGGTAGTTCAGTCATTTAAGCATCTGACTTTGGCTCAGGTCATGATATCATGGTTCATGAGTTCAAGCCCATGTCAGGCTCCATGCTGACAGCTCAGAGCCTGGAGCCTGCTTCAGATTCTGTGTCTCCCTCTCTCTCTGCCCCTCCCCAACTCACTCACACTCTCTCTTGCTTTCTCTCAAAAATAAATAATAAAAACATTTTTTAAAAAAATTTTAAAAAGTCTTTTCTAGAAGAATGGCAGAACATCTTTCAGATATATGTGTGCATATATATTTTTCTTCCCACCAATATAGTTAATGATTCCTTTCTTCACAGACAACAAAAACAAAAACAACGAAAAACAAAGCTAGGACCCCAAGAGTCCAAATCAATGAGAGGTCACTCAATTTAATTTTTTAAAACATTATGAGACTATATGAAGCCATTCTCCTCTCACACAGATTACAATAAAGATAACTTTCCCCCCTGCCTAATTCCATTCTAAAACAGAGGGCAGGTACTTACGGCAATTATTTTGTCATTCACTTGAATTTGGCCATTGTGGTACGCAGCGCTGCCAGGTATTATACTTTTCACATAAATCCCTGAAGCCTCCCCTGAGGTGCAAGAAAACATATGGAAAAAGGAGGAAAGCTCTAATTAGACCTTGATTGCAAAATTCCTATCAAGAGGTTAATTAGCTACCTCAGTCGGGCTGACTCTAGGCTTGATAAATACTATTTTGAACACAAGCAGAGAAATTGATGGATTATTTCAAACTGTCACCACCACAAGTGACCTGAATTTGAAATGATGTGACTGATGACTATTTCTGGAAAATTAATCAGTCATGGAACCCTGATGAAATGCACTCTCCGATAAACTGGAATTCAGGAGAGCCCAGGCAGTACGGCCCCTTCTGTTGGGCTGCCTCCCTTCTCCCCCGCTGCCTCAGAGCCCTCATCACTTTTCACCAGCACTCAGACAAGGGTCTCCTTCCTGGTCTTCCTGCCTACATTTAGTTCACTGTTAGCTTCCCAGATAAAGTACACACGGTGTTTAAAAAAAAAAAAAAAAAGTAGAATCTTCACAACATTAAATAATCTTTATAAAATATTCAAATAGAAACAAAGGGCTATGTAAAAATTACAACTATATAAAAAGTATGCACTCCTAGGGCAGAGACTAGAGGAGAAACTGGAAATTGAAAACTGTAACTCTGGATGATTTTATATTTTTATTCTTTCATTTCAAATGAACTTAAATACTGTCTCTGGATGAAAAATAAACACCAATGGATTCCTATTGCCTAAATAATTGTAAATTTCATAGAATCATACTCAAGAACCTCCATAATCTGACCCAAATATCTTTTTTTCCTTACATCCAACTACCATCCCTCCAATAAGACAAAAGTCCACACACACAAGACTTGATATTTCACCAAAACACTAAGTATTGTCATGATGTGTGGGAGCCCGACAGTGACCACGAGAAAGCATGGTTAGGGACGTGGGGATGTGCCTGCACACGGGACTCTCTGCTTAGGCAAATCATGCCTGCAAACAGGATGTTCTGCCAAGAGGCCTGCACACAATGTCCAAGGTTGATGATCTGCTTGCACACGAGGGAACATGCCCTCCTTAGAAATAAGGAGGAGGCTGCAATTGTGGGCAGGCCTCCTAGTAAACATGTTGTGGTCACTTCCTCCCTTTGCTTCCCCCTGTGCTTGGAATGTGTTTGGCTTCTTGCCCTTATTTGGTAAAGGAATGCATCTTGTAGATTTCAGTATGTATCCAGCTACCAGGGTATAAAATAAACCGCAAGGAGGCTTGCATAGAATTTTTCCTCCGGCCGGAGTTGTGTCTGTGTCTGTCTTTTGTGTGTCTTGTCTTTGTGTCATTTCGTCCTCAACAATAATGTTATCCCTTTTCTTTTTTTTTCTTCCTATAAACCTCACCCCTTCTACTAAAATCCTTTTTTGTGCCTAGCACAAATACCTTTCCTTGTGAATTCATTTCACCAAACTTAATCTTTCAACTGCCATATGATGACAGTTTGCTTAGATCTCTGTTAAAATACATATTCCATTTATCCTTAAATAATTAAAAGTTATTTACGTATTTCTTTCTCTCACTTGATCTCTCTTATATTCATTTTTCTATCCCTTTCAGAATGAAGTAACCCCCTCAAAAGTCCAATGAATAGAAAAAAACGAAAATTATTTTGCAAGACTACCTGTTAAATAGCATGCTGAGTTGTTAAAAGTTCATCACTGCCCACCACCCAGTCTCCAAAATGTCTTGTGAGGGTAAAGAAGGTAAATGATTCTTTTCTTTATTCAGTAACATAAACATCAAATTTTCTCAGTCTTCTATCAATTACTCACTTTCATTTTACTCTGTGTGTATACTGTTAGCTTTATAAGAACACTCCAAAAACTTAGTATAATATTTGGGTCATAAGCCATAAGTTTAGGAACTAAGTCATGAATTCTCTAACCAGAAAGCATATTAAGAGCTATTTGATATAATTCCCTCCCCCAACATTATTATACAATCCATACTTAGCTCTTTTGGAACTCATTTAAATTCTGAACCTAATAAAGGTGACACTTAGAAAAATCTAAAGGTTTGAAAACAGTTATTTCATTAGGCTAAAATAGCACAAGGTGGTCTGACATGAATTTCATTCAGGACTCTGAATACATTAGCACTCTTAATCTTTCCACCTGCTGTAAGTATGCAAAATAATAATTTTTTTAAAAAATTAACTTTCTAATCTTGCTATTTTTAAAAAACTAGAACATTTCTTAACTCTGAACTCATGTTGCTAGCAAATATTTGGGCAAAAGATTTATTTTACCTTATTCTAATGACTGTCTTAGAATAACAGAGTAACTCGTACAGTGAAAGTTACCAAATCTTTACATGTAAGAGTTGAGGGGATATTATTCAGAGATTCTTGGGCCATGTATTTATTATTACAATAGAACCCCTTTATATGACAGGAAAATAATTTTAATTAAAGAATTTGTTTTATATATATTTTTAGTGGTTATACTAATACTTTGACATTTATCATATGAAATACAGTAATTCTTTTATTTTTATCACACCTAAAGTGTCTTAATATGTAATAGTCACAATATTTAAAATATATCTAAGAAATAAAAGAAGGTACAATTCAAATACTATATGACAAGTTGGATATTAAATCCTTAATAGTGAAAATCAAGTCAACTATAAAACTACTGAGATAAAACTGTAATTCTCTAATTACTGAAAAGTAACCGGTTGCCACTAAAAATACATGGTTTATTGTTCAGTGTTTAAAATCTACAGATAGTTAATTTTACTACCTAAAAACCTTAACATCCTTACAATTATTTCCAAATATAAAATAGAAATGATTTGGGGCACCTGGGTAGCTCAGTCAGTTAAGCATCTGATTTCGGCTCAGGTCATGATCTCACAGTTCATGGGTTTGAGTCCAGCATCGGAGTCTGTGCTGACAGCTAGCTCAGAGCCTGGAGCCTGCTTCCGATTCTGTGTCTCCCTCTCTCTCTGACCCTCCCCTGCTCACACTGTCTCTATCTCTCTCTCTAAAAGAAATAAAACATTAAAAAAATTTTAAATGGAAATGATTCATTTACCTGTATGAGCAGTTCCAGTATAGCCAACAATTCTAATTCCAAGACTTTGTCCATCTTTTTTAGTGAGTTCAACATCATAAGTTTCAAAAAGAGAACTGTCCTAAAAAGAGAGAGAGAGAGAAAGGAAAAAAACTTTTTCATAAGTTTGAGCCTTGCATCAGGTGAGTTCGAGCCCCACCTTGGGTGAGCCCTGCTTCTCTCTCTTTCCCCGTCTCTCTCCGCCCCTTGCTCACTAGCACCTTCTCTCAAAAAAATAAAATAAAATAAAATAAAATAATAAAATAAAACAAAAGAACCAAATGTAAAGAAAAATTTAGAGGCAAATGGTAAGAATTATTGTGAATAATAATTATTGTGAACAAAAACTGTTGACCTACAACTTTTTTCATTACTTATCTTCTAATTTAAAATAGTTCTTTAAAAGAATAAAGTGTATAAAAATGTGATTCAATTCAAAACACTAATTTGAGTGGCTCGGTCGGTTGAGCGTCCAACTTTGGCTCAGGTCCTGATCTCACAGTTCATGAGTTCGAGCCCCACGTCAGGCTTTGTGCTGACAGAGCCTGGAGCCTGTTTCAGATTCTGTGTCTCCCTCTCTCTCTGACCCTCCCCTGCTCACTCTCTCTCTCTCTCAGAAATAAATAAAACATTAAAAAAAAAAAAAAACTAACTTGAGAAAGAAAACTGCTGATTGCATCAAATTCTCACTTATCACACAGCTACACTGGTCCCCACTACTGAGGGAGGCTCAAGAGAACTAGAGTGATGGAAGGGCAGAAAGTGGCTGTACCCAGTTTGGAGAGGAAAACAAAAATGATGTTAACAGCTCAGACAGCAAACTTCCAGTCACAAGGTTCCAAGCAGGGAGAGGACAACAACTCTGTAGAACCGCATGAACGATGTAGAATGACGTAGATGTAGAATGCAGATGAGTGACGGCCTTCCACCTCTTCCCACCAAAATCACTTCAAACTTGTCTAAGGTCTCTAAACTGGGTTCTTCTTTGCTTCTTTGGGGACACTACTCACACCCACTGGCACTCTGAGTTGAAGGCATTTCTGATCTTGCAGGACCTCATACCCAGTATTTAAGGTGAAAGAATGGTCTGTATACTCACAACACCAGGGCTCCTGTTGGCTACAGCAGGCAGGGCTACAGGTAAGGCTGCAGGGGGAGGAGGGGTTTCAGAAACTTCACCAACTGGGTCTCTTGCAACAAGCATCCTGACTGAATTCCCACAGTTCCTTAGCACTTGGGCAACTTGCTCGCTGGTCATTCCCTGCACATCTATGCCACCAATCTTCAAGATGTGGTCCCCCGTCTGGAGTCTTCCATCCTTTAATTCAAGAACAAAACAAAATTAAGCCACTCTGGAAAACAGTATGGAAGTTCCTCAAAAAATTAAAAATAGAACTACCCTGCAACCCAGCAATTGCACTACTAGGTATTTGTCAAAGGATACAGTGCTGTTTCGAAGCGGCTCATGCACCCCAATGTTTACAAAGTACTGTCGACAACAGCCAAAGAATACAAAGAGCCCAAATGTCCACTGAAGAATGTATAAAGAAGATGTGGTGTACATATACAATGCAATACTAGTTGGCAACCGAAAATAATGAAATCTTACCATTTGCAACAACATGGATGGAACTGGAGAGTATTCTGCTAAGTAAAATAAGTCAGGCAGAGAAAGACAAATATATGATTTCACTCATATGTGGAATTTACAGTATAAAACAGATGAATAAAAGGGATGGGAAGCAAAAATAATATAAAAACAGGGAGGGAGACAAACCATAAGAGACCCTTAAACACAGAGAACAAACAGAGTTTCTGGAGAGGAGGGGGGAGGGGGCTAAATGGGCAAGAGGCATGAAGGAGGGCACTGGTTGGGATGAGCACTGGGTGTTACATGTACATGATAAATCACTAAATCCTATATCTGAAATCATTATTATACTCTATGTCAACTTGGGTTTAAATTAAAGAAAAAAAAATAATTTATTCTAAGAAATCAGTGATTTAATTTCACTAGCTAATAATAATTCATCAGACTTTCAATTCTGGCAAAATGGCTGACAAAGAAACCATCTATAGAACGCTAAATAAAACATAACAGTCTTAATGAATGCTAAACTGGCAACAAAAAAAATTAAAAAAGATGGGGTAGAGAATGTGTTCAAAAGGAGAAGAGTAACCAGAATTCTAAAGTGGACATTTGCTCAAGGGGATCACTTCATGCCTGATGGCTTAGAGCCAGGATATTTATGGCCACAAAAGGAAGAGATCAGAAAGCCCTGGGCCTCAAGAAGGGAAGGAGTTTGGATCAGAAGTCTCCAGCATAAAGCTAGAAACTCTCAAGGCCAGCAAACTCAGTGGCATGTGTGAGGATCAGCAAGATGTCAGTGTAGCTGGAAGAGAACGAGCAAAGAGGAGAGTAGTCAGGAGGAGAAGGGAGCATTAACTGAAGGTCAGCAGTGCAGAGCATTTACTCTGAGCCAGTGGGAAAGGAAGTCACTGAAGCATTCTGAAAGAGAAGTGACATTATCTGACTTACTTTTAACAAGATCCTCAAGCTTCTGTGCTGAAAATAGACTACAGGAGAGGAAGCCACAGAAGCAGATACCAGTTAGTAGACTAAAGCAGTAATCTAGAATGAGACAGCAGTAGCCTGCAGACTGGGTTAGCAGTTGGAGAGTTGAGAAGTGAGATCCTAGATCTATTCTTAATGAACTTTTACCAGGCACTACTGATACTTTCTACAGGAGGTGTGAGGGGACAAAAGAACTTAAACCTCCAAGGTTTTAGCCTAAGCAACTGAAAAGACAGCCCTCCTATTGATGGAGATAAGGAGGACTACATAGCAATGAATGGATGGGAGTAGAAATCAGGAGTTCGGTTTTAGAGATAGCCAATCTGAAATGCTATTAGACATGCAAGCGAAATGTCAAATATGCAGCTGGATATACAAATTTGGAATTCAGGAGAAAAGTCCAGACCACAGAGTTAAATTTAGGAGTCATTAGCATACATAAAGTCAGGATTCCGGATGAATTTAAAGCAAGGATATGTGATATTCAATTACCTTTCTCTTAATGTTTATTTTTGAGAAAGAATGTGTGCGCACACATCCCAGCAGGGGTGGGGTAGTGAGAGGGAGACAGAGGATCCGAAGTGGGCTCTGTGCTGACAGCAGAGAGCCCAATGTGGGGCTTGAACTCATGAACCTCATTCAAGATCATGACCTGAGCCAAAATCAGACACTTAACCAGCTGAGCTACCCAGGTGTCCGTGATGTTCTATTTCTTAGACTAAGTAATATGTATATTCATGATTATTGTCATTACTTAAAATGTGCACAGCCATCATACATACTTCTTTATATACATTTTATATGTATCTCATACACAGAAAATTTTAAAACAATAAAAAAGCACATCAGTTCAAAATGTTTAACATTTCATTCTACCTCCATTTGTGAAATTCTTGAAACAGCGGACCCATCTGCATTTTGTTTCATTGGAAATTCTGAATTCTCTTTACTTCTCTTTACTATATTAGAGATACCAAATTTTAACACTAGCTGGTTTCAAAAAATTATACCTGCAAAACACTTTACAGGTCAAAAATCACCTTTCATATATCCTCATTCAGAGAGGGACTTTATTTTATTTTTAAAGTTTACTTATTTTATTTTGAGAGAAATAGACACAGTACAAGTGGGAGAGGAACAGAGAGAGAGAGAATCTCAAGTAGGCTCTGCACTGATGGGGCTTGAACCCACGAACCGTGAGATCATGAGTTGAGCTGAAACCAAGAGACAGATGCTTAACCAACTGAGCCACGCAGGAGACCCTGAGATGGACAACTTTAAAAAAGAACAAATGAAGAGGTGCCTGGGTGGCTTAGTCGGTTAAGCGTCCAACTTTCACTTAGGTCATGATCTCGCGGTTCGTGGGTTCGAGCCCCGTGTCGGGCTCTGTGCTGACTGCCAGCTCAGAGCCTGGAGCCTGTTTCAGTCTGTGACTCCCTCTCTCTCTGACCCTCCCCTGCTCACGCGGTCTCTCTCTCTCTCTCCTAGAAATTAAAAAAAAAAAAGAACAAATGGAGATTCAGAAAGGTTGACTGACCTGACTAAGGTCATAAAACTAATAAGTAAGAGAACATAAGTTCAACTCAAGCTGTCCCACTGAAGACCAGTTCTCATTAGGCTTTATCTTACACTTGGACACCTTCAGAGTCACACTAGTAGATAATAAATTCACTCTTTTTCTATTCTCCAAGAAACTATAACTGTCAAACAGCTTAAATGAAATGAATATGAAAAGTAGGTATTTTGCAACTGGGAGAGAAGGACAGCCTGAGAATGGAGCAATGAGCATCAGGCTTGTACAGTACTAGGCTTCATATTCTTGGCTCCAGACGGCACCATCTGTAAGGTACAGATGAAATTCAGAAGAAAAAAGTAAAACAAAATGAAACAAAAAACCGTAAGACTAAAAAGTTTATTCCCCATCCTTCCTTTTCTCTAATTTTGCAGAAACTTGAATGAAAGTATTAGATCAAAAGACTGAGTAAAAAACTATGGGCTTTGTTTTTAAGTCTGAAGGTCCCAGAAGCAAATGGAAGAGGAGAAGAGGAGGAAAATAAATGCAATTTGATTCAGAAACTCAGAAAAAGACAAATGCAAAGAGGAAATTAGAATTGGTGGATTTCTGGGGTGCCTGGGTGGCTCAGTTGGTTAGGCATCCAACATTGGCTCAGGTCATGATCTCACAGATCGTGGGTCTGAGCCTTGTGTTGGGCTCTGTGCTGACAGCCCAGAGCCTGAAGCCTGCTTCAGTTTCTGTGTCTCCCTCTCTCTCTGCCCTTCCCCAGCTCACACTCTATCTTGCTCTCAAAAAAAAAACAAAAACAAAAAACCACCCCACAAATGTTAAAGGAATTGGTGGATTTCTACTTTATGCACTGATAATTTGATATTCTATCAATGTAACAACTTAAGATAAAGCAACTACTCAAGAGAAAGTCAGTGGTCATGATGAAAAACAAGGGTAAAGTGGCCTCTGTAAATCAAACCATCCTTGAACAAAATTATGGCTGGACCAAAAAATAAAGAATTTGTCAAGTAAGTGTTTTCATACTTAGCTTGGCCAAAGAAGGGTACCTCACCGTAAGTATATATTTAGTCACTTCCTAGGCACTATTTTTTTTTCCTATTTTACCTCAATTCAATTTAAAATGATGTAGATAATTTGCATCTGTCACTGAAAGTCAAACACTTTCTTCTTCCAGAAAAACAGGTGTTCTAAGAAATTCCTAAGTGCAAAAACAATCATCAGTCAGATTGATAGGAAAGACACCAAAATGACAGCAACCTTGTTAAGGCCTACAGCTCTAAACATTGCATTTTGCTGATATTTTCTGATCAACATTCTCCTTCCACAGCTACTTCCATAACTACTGTGCAAGGAAAATAAAAGGCATAGAGTCCTTTCTGTTCTTTAATAGAAATCATAAATCAACGGTAGCCAGTAAGTAGTTATACCAACATTCAAAGACAGGGTGTTGGGGCACCTGGCTGGTTCAGTCAGTGGAGTATGTGACTCCTGATCTAGGGGTTGTGAGTTCAAGCTCCACATTTGGTGTAGAGATTACTTTAAAAATAAATAAATTGGGGTGCCTAGGTGGCTCAGTCAGTTAAGTGTCCGACTTTGGTTCAGGTCATGATCTCACGGTTTGTGCGTTCAAGCCCCGTATCAGGCTGTGTGCTGACAGCTAGCTCAGAGCCTGGAGCCTGTTCAAGATTCTGTATCTCCCTCTCTCTTTGACCTTCCTGTGCTCACGCTGTGTGTCTCTCTCTCTCTCTCTCGCTCAGAAATAAATAAAACTTTAAAAAAATTTTAAATAAAAATACAGAGCATGCTAATCAAACATTCAAATATAAAAATGTATTAATCCATGGATTCTTTGACAAGAGAAAAATAATTATACATATAGACTAAGATAGTATGAAACACAAAAATTAAAACAGCTAATCTACTTCCACTTTCTCAAAAATAAATAAACTTAAAAAGGGGGGGTGGTGCCCGGATGGCTCACTCAGTTAAGTGTCCAACTCTTGATGTCAGCTTGGGTCATGATCTCATAATCCTAAGGTGGAGCCCCACATCAGGCTCAGCACAGAGCCTGGAACCTGCTTGGGATTCTCTCTCTCAAAAATAAATTTAAAAAATTAATGATAACAGCTGATGTAATAGGGTACTACATATTACTGTGAAAGCATTAAAAGTATCATGTATTCACTTTAAAAAGTACCTTAATCAAAGTTAGCAA